ATTCATTGCCCCACCCCAGCTGCAAATCCCCTCTGTATTTTACGGAACCATGGATATAACGCGATCAATCAATTCTTCTGTAGCAACGCATCTGCCGTCTCTGCGTACAATCCTGCTTACCCAAGGGGCTTTTGAGGTCATCATCCACCTTGGGAAAGAGCATGAATGCGTTTATGCCATAGCGCCGCGCGTCTTCAACCTCTTTTAGCACATCCTCGGGACTTAGCCGGCGGTGGCCTGGCAGCGACGGAATCGGAACGCTGCGTTCCTGAAGGAAACCGCATCAAGTGAGCGGCAATTATGATATGTCTAGAAGGCATTTCACAAGGGGCAAAGCCCTCACTTTCAGTGCTCAGCGTTTCACGTGAAGGCTTACTTTGTCGTGCACGAATAGGGGATAAATCAGACTAGAAGGCTTCACAACGTTCTCTTGAACAAGCCGACGTGTCGCACGATCTTTGCGGTTGCGACGAGGGCGAGCTTGTATGGGCAGCCAGACTTCCCCATAATTGTTATTCTCCAAAGGTCCTCTAGGTGCAATCGGATCATACTCTTCGTCGGCATCTGCCGCATCATCCTCTTCATCCTCATCTTCTAAGCCGGCATCGAGTTCCTCGTCCCCCTCGTCTTCATCGTCATCTTCATCTTCGTCCTCGTCAAATCCTTCCAAGAGATCACTTCCAACTCCAAGCGCTCTTTGTTTTGCATCAGTGGGTCTCTTTCCTTTACGATCGTTTCTTGGCACGCTCCCTCTAAGGCCTGTTCGCCCGCCGCCCGCCTCACTAAAGGCCTTTTCCATGGATGCCAATGCACGTGATATGCGCTCCGACACACGGCCCCTTGGTGCATTTGCTGTCTGCCTCCCCATAAGCCGCTGCACAGAACCAGCGCATGATAGCAATGACATGGCAGCTGCTCATGTCAGCGCTTGTCAAGGACAAAGCAGGATCCGAATCCGCAAGGATTATCACAAAACTAACACCAAAAAAAACGTCTCCAAGTTAGACATGAAGAACTTCATTCGCCACAAAGGGTGGAAAAAGAACCAGGCTGCGTCAAAAATGCAGCAACGGCCAACCAAAACGTAGTGCATCACTCCTTCCTGTTGGGGCATATCTGCTGGATGTGTGAAGCGTACAGCTCCCCTGCTTTAGCATCACTGGGCTGTCCAGCTGACTTCTTTGAATTCAGGATCCAACAGGGGCTTCCAGTGAAGAGCCCCCGTGCCGGCGCGAGATGATGCACCGGTGCGTTTGTGTGATGCTGATGACTAAAGGGCAGCTGCCATGTGTTGCATCTGCTGCATCATATCCCGCTGCAGTATCGCAGTTGGTACTCTGCCCGAATGGATCAGACAGTGGAGCGGCTCCTTCGACATTTATCCCTCGTGAGAGTAAGGGCCTAGTACACTGAACGGTCCGTGCCGACTCGTAGGTTCCCACGAGGCACACATACCTCTGGAGCATTTTCTGTCACGTTTTTCCGCCTCCGAATTCATTTGTTTGTGGAACTTTACTGGCACAGGTTGTCACCCGCTGTGCACGCGGGACGGGAACACCACCGGTGGGGGGACAGATGAAAGGAGGTCTTTATATACTACTTTCGGCCGATCGGTCGAGGCAAACAGCTTGAGCCGCTGTGACCCTCTTAGTTCCACATAGAGCTGATCAATATACTTATCTAACGGTAATACTGTGGAAGAAGATATGGCCATTATATCGGATCATGCAAGTCCACAAAAAATGCACATCACGCCGCGCAGCCAGCTCCAACCTCGTTTACTTTATACCAGTCACGTTGTATCCTAAGCACGTCACTTCACTTCTCACAATTTTGCTTCACGTATAGACTCCTTACTTGTGCGCCTGGAGTGACGCGAGCTACAAGAGACCGGGAGCTAACTGAAGTGGGCGCATGTCCTTCAGGCGGCCTATCCCTCATCTGTTGCGCAGCACTGCGACAACGGCAGAACGTTGGCGTTCAACTCTCTATACTATTTTAGCGTGACAAACGTTATCACAAAGCAACAACTCAAGCCCTATAAAAGCAGAGAAACAGCAGGCTTTGCACGCATTAGGCGTACCTGCGGCTGTTGGGTTGGAAAGACTTTGACCCCTCCTACGAAGGCCAAAGGGGTGAGCGTGAGATCACGTGTACGGCTTTTGCATGATGCGCTGCATAGGGGGCTGGGAGAAAGTGAGGCCGGTTGGGCAGCCGGCTGCCTCCTCATCATTGCCGACGACTCCCCAATGAAACTGAACAAAGCCGCCACGGCGGCGGCTCGGAGGCCAGGAACCATCTTTACAATTTCCTTGTGTTCTGGCCACTCTGCTGATGTCTTGCGCAGAGCCTGTCTACCGGTGTTTTGCTTTCCTCTCAAGTGTACGGCTGAATTGTTCCCAGGTTCTAAATGTCCAGAAGCTGGAGCAGGAGACCCGCGTCAGGCTAGAACGACCGCACACAAGCCAGACGACAGCATCCGATGAGCAGCGCAAACAGCTACCGCAGTACCAGAGGGACTATACTGCTGTGATATACAATGGTGGCAATGGCTCAACTAGTCCAACACTGGAGGCAAGTGTGCTTGACCCATAGATTCACTTTGAACGGCCACGGGATGAAGCCGCCCCATAAAGAAAAAGAAACAAAGTGTCGCTTGCTGACTTTTGACATCCGGGTTCATGTAGGTTTGTAGAGGAGACAAGTGGGCTTGCTACTCCCTTTATTGTGTCTCCCTCCCCTGTCTACCCCACAGTCACGTGACGTAGCCTCACACGAGCGAGGGTACGCGTTGGCTGACAAGAACACGAATATGTTGTGTCTGTGGCGTTACAAATGTAACCATGGAAGATTTAAGGGTAAATCGCATTATAGGACGGCAAGGCATGCAGAGTCTCATGGAGCCTGCGGGGCCGTCGCAGCATGCGTGCTGTCCTTAGAACAATACCCGCATGTCTTCAATCTGTCAGCGATGGAATCCAACGAACCTGTGCAATCGAAGTACAGGGAAATTAAGGAAGTAGCTTAACGCTGAGCAAAGAGCCCACCCTGCACCGAACACAGCTCGTCTCGATGACGGCGGAGCAGTTCCGCTTGTCTTCAAAGATACGGATGAAATACACGCCGTTTGTGCCATCTACTTGCAATAATGGCTTATCCAAGTATCAAATGGGTATATGGTGCATATTTACATAATGCTATCAAGTTTCATCACTCTGCTGCTCAGTAGTTGTGTTTGTCGGCATGGCTGTGGCTCGCTACACATTGAGGTAATCTTCAACAGTCCACGGCTTGGACATGGTTTTAAAGCGACAGCTGTAGTGTCTTTAAGCTATTTTATAGCATCCAAGTTTTTCTGTCACACTGTCTAGTCTGGCTTCCAAATGATGCCTCGCGTGCCTTACGAGGCTGTTCCTTAGGCTACCACTGCTTTCCAGAAGCTGTTGTGAAGTGCTCAAAAGTGAAGGTGTTTCCGCTAAACGCATAACAGATGTCAACGTCAAAAAAGAAGCATTTTTTTCGAAGAACTGGTTAGGGGTCCTTCAACTAGGGTTTTTCTTTATATCTAAAGCGCACAAGGGCAATAGCGAACTTTGTGCAGAGCGGGACTCGGGTCCTCCACATGTGGCTCATTCGTTAGGCTCCTTTGTGTCGCTTCAGACATTACTAATGCTTGTTTTGTGTCTTTGTTTAATTTTTGCTGAGCAGCAGAATAGCTGACCAAGAGGGCTACCATGCCGTTAACCGTGAGGTAGGCATTTTGGTGTCCTAGCAACTAGATAACCGAGTGCAAGTGTATTTCCAACTCACAGAGTACATTATTGGAGCCAGATATATGCCTTTCAATTTATGTCAAGTTAGCAATGGGAGGCAGGGCAGTGATAGGGGCCAGAAGTCTCCCTATGGAGAATCAAGGCTGTGCCATAGCTGGTAAAGAAGGCAGGCGGATTCATACGTGTAGCTACTGAGGTGCAGTAGGTTTAGTTAAGTTTCTAAAGGACATATCCAGCCCTATTGTCCTTCCCGCACATCTACCCGTCCCGTGTACAGTTTCATCGGTAAAGTCCCACAATGGACAAGTATACATCGAACTTGTTTCTGGCGTAGGGAAGTTCTACTCATAGATTGTCTCTTTTTACTTTGCCTTTAGCCACTGCGCTGCTAGTGCTGAAGTACTGCTATGGTTCACGGGGAGCTCCTTCGACGAATACGGATTCGTAGTCGGTTAGCTTGGTGCAAAATTCCGGAGCACAGCTATAAGCCCTCCCGGGAGCACGATAGGCCGAAGAGGGAACTCGTTTTTTTTTTAATGGCCGAATAATTGTTCTTATTTGCCTTTGTGAGCTGTAATCCTCTTACACAGCACATGCCTTGACGCAATATGCTTAATGTGGCACGACAGTTCCAGGAGGAACTTTGTTGCTCCCTTTCAAACAACAAAACCAGCGTTTGTCATGGGTGTTTTTCAAGAACAGTAGTGTCCTTTCTCAGCAAGCACAGTACTGAAGGTTTTTTAGGAGTACGTACGTGCGTCTGCCTGTTTGTTCTGTGTCGATAAACGGTATATATGTAGTTGGATTAGCTAACGAAGGGAGATTCAAGAAATGAAGTAGGAGTCGAACCAAACGCCAACAAAGCGTACAACTTGTATGAGTTGGGCGACAACAACGCCCTGCAAGCTACCTTTTCCCCTGAAGCCCTGGGCAGCACTTGCCATGATCGTGGAATGAAGCCACAATTTGAAACATATTGTGGACTGAGGTCTGTCTCACCTGTGTTCTACTTTTACATAGCGTTCTGCGGAGTGTCCTACAGGTGCATTACTGGCGGCCCGGACAGGAATTAGTTCCACTAGTGTGTCCCTGCCACACTTGACCGTTGCCTGAGTGAATGCTGGTCTTGCTGAAGGGGCAATGAGCTCCAGGTTTTAAACTACTGTTGCCAAAGCCTATGCTAAATCTTACGTGGTTGAAGCAGCTGTGGCAGTGACCTGGCCGTGCTTATTTACTTTTGCACACCATTCCGCCTCCCTTGCCGCTGCTGTCTTTCGTTTCATTCAATATTGTGGGCATTCCATCAAGTGCTTCAACGGACGAAGGGCAAGCTTCAGAGCTCATAATCATGCTGTGCATCATCAATCCTCCATCATCAGGGTCATCCCCTGAAAAAACAAGGGACGAATTTGGTGGGGTAATTTTTAAGGATAAATTATTCTCACATGCAAGAGGCGACAGTGCGGGGTCGTCTCCCCGCTGTAGAAGAAGCTTCAAGGTTTCCCAATGGTTTTGTTTATGTAGCTCTTGAGTATCGAAACTGTCTTCAAGTCCAATGTTCCCAGGCTCATTGAACGATGGTAGAAGCTTTAATGTGAATTTATGGCCTTGTTCTCCCCTTCCCAAGGCATAATGAGTTCTTTTTTGAGTCATCTGACTGGACTGCAGCAAACATGCGTCATCAACAGTCTGTATAAGATGCGTAAAGGGGCCCTGTATATAGGAAGTGTGCTGATTTGTCTTCGATTTGTCTGTTTCTTTGGACGTGTTTTGACCGCATGGCTCAAGCTAGGGTGAGCACAATTGTGGGCCTTCGGAGCATGGATATTTTGTGTCAAATGGGGAAAAGATTCTTCTAGCGCATCGGTAGCCCCATTAAAAGGCAGCTTGTAGGAGCTGAACAAGTGTCTCTGCACCGTGCATCTGACGCACCTTTTGTTTCAGTGCAAGAGAACGTTCTTTTTGTCCGCTTTTCCTGACGCTATCCAGGGCACTGCAGAGCTCTGAGTGCATCTGATGAGAGACAGCTCCGTTTGGAGAAATTTGAGGAATCTTCTGCCCATAGAGAGATTCCTTGTAACACGACATACTCGTATTCACCTGCCTGGGCGATGAAATTTGAGAAAATCTCCCCACCCTTTCCACTCTTCTAGTCCACACTGTGGGCAGACGCAAGCAACACAACGCCAGTATACCTGCACAGTGGGACTGAAAAGAATCAACCATTGAAAATTTTGAAAAATCAATCGAGCCGTGTTGCCTTTTCATTTGCTTGCATGAAACCGATAACTGAGAAGTAGAATAGGCTTGCCTGCCTCATCTTCAGACAAGCCCTCGCCATCACTTTCATAAATCTGTCGTTTTTTTTCTATGATACTGCGCAGGAAGAAGCGAGCTAGCAAATACTGCCGCTTCATTTCCTCAATGTCCTGCAGCCGCAGCAAACGGATTACATTGGAAACTTGAGTGCCAGTCCGGCTCCTGCAACAAAACTTGACTGAAGCCATGTGGGACTTAAGTTACCCTTATAGGCTAGTGGTACTAGACACAGCATCTATCTGATAGCAAGAAAATCCCTCTGTAATGTCAGTCATACGCTTCCGCAGCACACTGACCAGAAGAAGCGGACCTCGGTTTCTTTCACTGTGAGCTGAGCACTAGCCTGCTTGGAAGGTGCCGCAGCAAAAGGAAGGAGAACTTACACCAAGGGGATAAGCAAAAAGCTTAGTGGCCAGCCCATGTCTCCCGATGTAGTTGACCTGTTGAGCAAGAAAGTCAAAAAAGGGTCCGCGCATGATATATCTTTTTTAATTTATTGCTACAGTCTCTATGCGAAAACACAGCAGTGTAGTAAAGGACATTGGACTCGCCTTCCATGCGTTCTGATGAATGTACAGCCCTCGGACGCCGCTCTGAGGCTTTTTTCCAGCCTTTTGTCGTTTCGTCCTTTTCACTGTTGTTTTCAATGCCGTCAGAGAACCGAGCTCTCGGAATGCATTGGCCGCAATACTAACAGATTGCCGCTCAGGGCATTCGCCTTCAGATTGATGTGTAGCCACGGCTGCTTCTGCACCGCCACCAGCTGTCTGAGCACTTGTTGATTTCATGTAGACTTCCTGATGCAGCGGCTTACTGCCAGGTTCGGGGCAGTGGCCACACTTCCCTTTTGCATCTGCGCAGATATATTCGTGGATGAAGTGCGGTAGGCTAGTGTTGTCTTGATCTAGAGTCTCCAGGCCCCAGTAGGTCCCAGATTCCTTATTATTGCACGTTCCAGCTAGATGCTCAATTGTGAAATTCCGAGCAGAGTCGCACTGCCTGGTTCTATAGTCTGCTGCCTTGCCCTGTGCGCTGGTGGGCCCATGCTTGTTTTCTGCTCGCGATTGAAAATGTGGTCCAGTTCCAACTAGAGACAGTCCTTGAGGCTTGCTCATGAGCTCTGAGACGTCCATTGCCTTATGCTTAGTGTGAATCTTTAGCCGCATCAGTATTCTGATAGCTTCGCGTGTTTCATCGTCTGTTGGCAATCGGGCAGTTTGCGAAACGAAATTTCGCGACCACTCGCACAGCAACCTCGCTCTTTCATATCCATACAACTGGAAACAGTCACGCAAAAGCGCAGCCGATGGAACCCATTCAGCACGCAAAGTACAAAGAACCACTCTACGGCCAACCAGTTGGTGCTACAGGTTGTGGGGAAGGCCAACAAGGGCGTTAGCAGTGTTAGATATTCTTCTGTCAATCGGTTAGACTACGGAGCGTCGAGTGCTTAACAGGCTAGTTCTAAAAGGAAACAGGGAAAAGCACACCTTGCAGGAAAAAGACCGTTGCCTTTTGCTGCCGTCAACCATGAGCTCCGACCGCCAAGCCATTTTATTCGCATGAAAATACAATCTACCAGCCACAGCCCTCTGGCCATTAGATGGGCCGACGCGAGCTGCTGTATAACCAGATTTATGAAAAGCTGAGGCTCTCTGCACTGTTTCAGCAGCCTGAAGGCCTAGCACGGCAACGAATTTCCCTGGCGCTTCTCTAGCCTCCACTGTTTTCATTTCTTTAGACTTTTTATGTATCAGCGGCCTTCGTGGGCTTCCCAGTGTCCTGTGTTTTCTGTTCCTCTTTGCAGGTCGGAGCACTGACCCAATTTCCCCAGCTTGCTCGTGGACTCCCGTAAAGGCCAGTGAAGTAGACGGCCACGTATGGTCCTGTTCAAATGCAGCGTCTAGTCCGGCCATAGTTTCATGAGGAAATGTCGCTCTTTCGTGGTAGAGCTGTTGACAACTGGGTTGCGTCTTATTCCACTGAGCCGCTGATGTCCTGCTGCAGGAGTTTATTTGCGATACGTTGTGCGACACAACTCGTCTCATGCTCTTTGGGGGCGTTCCGAGGCAAGGCGACTCTATGCACCAGCCAGTGGCGCCAACGGCACCTCTTGGGAACTGCTGAGACCGTGGCTCTGAGTCAACTCCAGGCAATTGGGAAAAGTCGCTGGGAATGGCTTGAGGCGAAAGGGGAGAGAGCGCATTTAGTGCATCCGTGGAACTGTTGCGTCCTTCTTCCTGCTTAAACGCACTGTTGACACAATGTGGAGGGGGAAAGTTGAAAATGGAATGAGTTGCAGCGACAAGGACTGAACTACCCTGCTTCGAGCAGGCAGAACAGTCAAAGTGGCAGGGTGCCTGCTTTGTGGAATGGGGTCCTCTAGGCATTTTCTTTGGTCGCTTGGAGAAGCCTCTTTCCTCAGCTCTGTGTTGGGACCGTGAGATTGTGGCACCGATGCTTCTGAAAACATCCATCGCAGCCTAACGAGCAGCCGTACGTTTAGAAGACCCTCAGGCTACTCCAGGAAAGAGCTGTACCGACGTAAGGTCAATGCAGTGACCCTGACGGGAAGGTGTACAATGTACAGCGCACACTACAGCGAAGTGAGAAATTCGAACCGGACGACAAATTTCGCCGTTGCTTCCACTGTAATCGCTATTTTTAACCTGTACCAACAGAAGTAAGTTGCGTGATCTGCATTTACGAAGTAAGAGAGAAAGCGAGGGTTGCATTGCCTACGTCTGGAGTGCCGGATGGTCAAACCGTTGCCAAACGTTCTCAAGGGAGCAGGTGGCAGTCTCCTAGGCTTTATTACCGTCCCCCAAATGCTTTTTGCTCGGATTGTTGGATAATTTTCGGTCTTTGGTACCTGAAGAAATAGAAACTCACAAAAACGGCGTCTTGACCGACACATTTTAAGCACATTTCGAGGCGTTGCTGTGCCCGCAAGCTATGCATCAGTCTTTAGTACACGCAAATATAAAAGCTCACAAAAATCGGGGTTCTTAACGGAAAATTATGACGTGGTGATGAACTGAGGTCGCTGCTGCAACTGTGACCAAACACGCTGATGAACACAAGAAAGCATGTGCCAGGAACTTAAGACATCCAAACACATAAGGCATGCACACAAATTCTTTTAGATGGGAATAGGGATTTTTAGCGAAGAACTAGTCTCGCAAGAAGTAAGGGGGGTGGGCATGTTTGAGACCAGCCTTAAACACCTTCGCTGCAAATGCTTAGCAAGCCAAAAGCAGGGATGAGGAAATTATTAAAACTATTAGCGTCATGGCAGACACTGCTTCTAAATATTGAAAACAAAGTGTGGAGTTGATCTGAGCTGGTGGTCCATCGTCCAACCTGCACAGGCGACCACCGTGTCCGCTCATCCACGCTTGGTATTCATCCTGAACTACAGCAGCAGTACGCTACAATGAAGCTCAAAAAAACCAAGATTGTGTCGACTAATAGCGCAATTATTGATAGTGATATCTACTGGCTGAGGCGCGGTGGGGAAATAATGCGGCAAGGTCTTCTTGTAGCGGGTGAGTGACCCTGTGCTCGTTGCCCCGAAGGGAACGACCATGTCTGACAGCAGTTGAACCAAAGTGGCATTCCAAGGCTAAAAACGTCACACCTCAAGTATTTCTATCCTAGATACAATCCGTTCTCTGCGTTTGGTGCCCCACCAGGGACCCCTGTTGCTAAGGCCAGCCAGTGTCTTCATCACGCAGTTGCCTATTGCCAGCTGTAGTGCTGAGCCCAGCATGGCAAGGGACGCAGCAGGCCTTACAACTGACGCCTATATTCAAGTATGTGTATGTCATAAAGGCCAGCTTATTGCCCACAAAGCTTAGCATCCAGGTAGAAACGATACGAGCCGTCAATCTTCCCACCGAACCCCACGCTGGCAGCTTTAGAATGTTCCATATTCTCTTGCTTCCTGATAAGTCCTTCAATCAAACATGCTTTTTGCTACTGCATACACTACAAACTAATATCGAGTGCTGGAGCGAATACCAGTGGACCTCAGCTGAAACTGAAATAACCGAGGCGGCGCGCAGCAACAGTTCAAGCACAGGCGCGCATTCGTTCTCCTAGGGAAACGTACGCCAGTGGTGGCGTCAATTTTTGGTAGGAAGCTTCCATATGCAAAAGTCCCATACAGGCCATACCATGCTTCTAGTGGCACAACTAGAAAAAACATTGTAAAACGGAGTGCTCCCATGAGGAGCTTCACTGTCAACCCAACTCTAGCAGCCAAAAAACGATTGAAACAGTTTCAGAGAACAATTCCATCCAGTTCTTATGGCCATAATACAGATTCCGTAGTCTGTAAGAAAAAACGCTGTTCGAGTGATTTGGCCGCTTCTGTGCAACGCGCATCCCCAAGTTAGAGCCTCCTAAGGAGCACTGACGTCACCACTTGCCCTTCCACTCCTCCAAATTTGAACGAGCGATGCGGTAAAAACCCAACTCGTTCAAAGGGTGGGCTTCCACGAGCAGAGCTGTGCTCGCTGTCCTCTGCGACCAGTCCTTTACACTCTTGTGGAACTGGCGTTCTGGACTCTCGCTTAGTGGGCTTAAGTGAGACTTCAGCAGTGTCACGATGCGGCAACTTTGACTCTGGTGTGGAGCAAAACAAAGAGTCAAGTTCCTCCAGCGTGCAGTTGCAAGAAGTAAGGAAGAGTAGCCCATACGGCGGCATTAGCCGGTGGACGCACTGTACGTACTGCTCTGGAGTGTGCATAAGACAAAAAACGTCAAAGGTTCCCTTATCAAACACAACAGGAAAAGGCGGAAGAGTACTGGCCGGCTCGCATGAACACGAAACCACATCGCAGCTTTCCTCTTCGCTGTCCGCTGCACCATTTTGTTTGGACACTTTCCGCAGCTCGTACGCTTTTCCGCAGCAGCAGATGCAAGGATGCTGTCCCTTCTGTATTTCTAATCCCTCTTCCGGCTTGAGATCTCTCAAGTCTGCCTGTCTTAGGCAAATGTGCGGGGATTTATCGCTGCTGACCTTGGGACATATTCCCCACAAGTTGCACCGCGCCAGTTGAATGGCGCTGCGAGAATAGTCAACGCCTGCCAGGCGCTCAAAACCGTACCGACGAAGTCTAGCGAGAAACTGGCCACCGCCGCAGCCCAAGTCCAACACTGGGAGCTTAGTAAATTCTTGAGAAATCCGAGGCCCCATCCCCTGGCACCAATCACACTTGCCGCCAGCACAGGCATCAGTTTCGCTAGTATCTGCTCTGCGTAGTGCATGCACCCGACGAAAGAACGGCTCTAATAGGTGGCCTTTGGAACATTTCAGAGTGTTAAGGACCCAGGTGGCAATCTTCGCGCACTCCGGACCGAACCATTCCTCGCCGTCTACCGAGCAGCTGTCACTACTCCTTCTGCTGCTGCACCTGCTACTGCTCCTGCTACTGCTCCTGCTGTTACATTCTCTTTTATGCTCGTTGCCGTGTCCAAAACTCGAGCGGTAGGCTTTTCTTGTCCGTGCGTTAGTCAGTTCCCTCTGATATATTTCTTCCCACGTTGAGTGGAAAGCGTGGCGAGACAGCTCACCATCCTCCATATCTTGCCTTGTAGATCCCTCTACTCTGTTGTGTTCTTCGGAGCCATGCCTTGCTCTATTCTCACGAGGCTGCGCCTCGAAGATCTCGCCAGTTTCGCTTTGCATAGCGTGACCTGCTACGAGTACCGAGAGAAAGAGTAGAGCACACTTAGGTGGAAAAAGCGTTCCCCCTTACTATGCAGAACCTAAAAATGGAAAAGGCAAGTTTTTAAAGCAAAGTAAATATACAGATCGATTAGCGTGGCCTGGAGCCAACGTCCGTAAGGCCATCGGGGCCCCATGTGGGGCCCCCATACCCCAAGAGAATTCGATTAAACGCTGCTTATGAGGTATAGCCGAATGGCTGGTACGTATTATCAGGATATCGAGCACTTTAACAAATCTACCGTCTAGGGGATGGGTAGGGTGTACGTCTTAAGTAAGGCTACCACGACGGTGTCCTGGTACCGTTGTAAATAATTCGTTGTTTGGAGGTATGTTGAAAGAAGAGATACTCCGAGCCCCAGTCCCTTTGCTGTAGAAATAAGCTGATGCAAATTCATCATTTAGATGCTTAGTATGTTTTTTCGTAGTACTCTTTTCTAGCGGGAACACTGCGCGGTGGCACGGTATTCATCGCTGCGCAGACGTGCCCTAAGCAGAATCTCAGACTAGCCAAACACGCAGTAAACTCCGTCATTTGGTTCATCTTTTTTATGCAGAAAAAACATGCAGGTACTCCGATTTGTGCTGGGTTAAGAAGAAGTAGCTGTGCACGTCCGCCAAACTGGTGTATCCGAACATCTAGGGAACTGCATGATACGGTTATCCGGAAATCCTGGAAACTGCTACGCAGAGTATGGCTGACAATTGTGGTGAAAAGCCTTGAAGATTGAGGGCCATGTGGAGCTCAGATGATGTATTCTCACCATCAGCACTAAGCGAGAAAACGCTCGATTTCGTGCTATGCTGCTGCAGTTTATGAACAGCCACTTGAGGCGCAAATCTCTTTGAGTGGTACGTGAATACGGCTAATAAAAATGCCCAGCTTAGGAAGGAATAAATAGACTTCGGGGTATTGAGCAGAATGGCACAGCATACTTCGGGAACGCAGAAAATTCAGGCGAACTCCGGCTCCGTTGCAGATATCAAAGGCCGTTCACCCGCACTGTGAAGAGTGTATCGTCGAGAGATGTGGGGAGAACGCAATTGAAGACAAATGCGCCCCTAGCTTGACAATGCCCTTAGGTCATTTTCAACTGACAGGCTGAATCGATGCCTGATCTCGATTATTTTCACTGAAAGCATCAAAAGCATCACATGAATCAGCTCTCTGCTCCGTGATGAAGAGTGTGGCTCTGTGGAATAGAAGTGTTGCAACAGTTAGTTTATTGTTACGGAAGTTGATGAAATGCTGGTGGCGAGAACATTTGTGAAAATATGGAAGATGTGGTGGCGCTAACAAGAGCAAAAACGCTTTTCCTGGCCGCCAAGCTCTCGCTCTAACACTAAAGGTAAAAGGAAAGAAGGCTAGATGGCTTCTGGTGCGTTTGTCTTTGGGTAAGAATTTCTGTATCAAGGGCTGGGAATGGCCAGAGCTCAAGTGCACTGCCGGCTGCAGCGTTGTCTAGCTTACCTTTGGTTACATCTCTCTAAACGCAGAGCCCAGAAAGGTTGGCATTTCGTGCAGCTAGGTCTCTGACATATTTAGGGCAATGACGCGCTAGCATAGGCTCAGACCCTGATGTGATGAGTGAGCTGTCGGCCCCTTAAACACTTTCTGTACTGCTAGCGAATTTCATTGCATTGTCTCGCAACTTGCTGCACTAATTGGCGAAGATGTTATTTTGCTCGTCAGCAGTACTGCGCTGTTGCTCGTCACCGAACTCAATATTCGCGATGGCAGCTATCTGCTGGGGTTGTCAATTAGGGACAGAGACAGGGTGTATTGCGTGACAGCTTGAATGCTCACTAGGGAGCTTCTGATGGCTTCATGTAGGGTTTTGTTAGTCACCGTCCGCCGATTGCTGATGCCAAGCTGTGGAGCTGTCACACGAGGCCAGCAATGCGCTGGGCGGGACTCTACGGATTACCTAGATTTGTCTGTATGTTTTTGAAAACTCGACACGAATGTTTCCTCACTCGTGAATGAACGCTGTTGCTGTTCACGAGCTGCGTCTCGATATTCGCAGGCATGGAGAGTTCCAGAGGAGTCCGCTAGCACCCATAAACCATGGGCGGCAACGCCTTTAACTGGAAGAAGCATAGCCTTCTAGATAAACTCGCAGCATTGTACCATGCTAAATAGAAGTTTTGTAGCTTTATGTGGGAGCCAACACTTAGACACTTCCCCACGGGCTCCCCCCTTCCCCTGCTTGCCCAGCCAGATGAATGCAGCCCCCGAAAGTTCAACAATCGTAATACGCAGAATTATATTTGGAACTTCAACGTATGAAGTAAGATTCACTTGGAGCGTTAACCATTGTTTTAAAGGGGACAACTTCACGAGATACCTCCCGGGGGGTCCGGCCACCCGCCGCTGTCCAGCTCTCCGCGAACTTCGTTTTTTTCTAAACCTCCGTAATTGTTTTAAGTTCCTTGATTTTATTCCTTTGAAATCAAATGGAGAGCTACACGCATGTGAGGTAGCCCTTCCGCATATAGGAGCTCATTCTGTTTTTGTCTTCACCTGTGTAGTGCACGATCACGCAGTCACATAAGCAGCCGCATCACGTAACTCTCACGTTGCTGCCAAGGGTGAATGAGCCAGCTATCAAGAAGCCGTAAGAAGGAGGCTAGAATCTGAGTTGGAAGGAAAGGGGGAGGAGTCGGCGTACTCGCGGTGGAATTCACATTGCGCGGCTGCAGAGGGCTAGGTGAAAAAAAGAGTGCCTCTCGCCATCATTGACGCTCTCTGCATGCAGACCCATGGCTACCTCCCCTCCATCTGAGGCACAGCAGGCCACTGTTCCATCCTTGCCCCTGCCAGTACCTCGTGTGCGACTTCGCCTGGACCGGCGGCTGCTCCTGGTCTATGGGTTGCTGCTTTTGGATGTCGCGATGATTGGGATAACTTCACTGCAGCACGTATGGCAGCCGGCTAATCTTATAGACAAGGTTCTGCAGAACCACAGCGCCCCACTGCACGCAGACATGTCGTCTCACTTGCCTGCCCTGCAGCCGCAGCTACCAGTGGCTGTCAAGCGGGAACTCGGGATGTCTTGCTGCTGCGGCTGGCTGGCCTTGGCTGTGATGGGTATACTCTCCTTGCTCGTGTCTTATTCACCCTCGTGTCTAGATACTGTTTCCACGGCCGCATCCGCGTCGGCCAAGGAGAGCTGTAGAGGTCAGGGCTCACGAACAACGACAACGGCCCGCCGTAATCGCCCAATTGCTGTACAAACGAAGAACTTTGGGAAATGCGGAGCGTGTTTGCGCACAGTAGAAGAGGTAGAGCTTCAGGTAAAGCTCAAGTACCTTCTTGTGGCGGTCGCGTCCTTTTGCGTCTTTTTTGCCCTCAACCTGATCGTGCAGATCCACGGGCGGTTCCAACAGAGCAAAGTGACTGTGGCTGCTCTTAAGACATTCGCAGCGGAAAACACGGAGAATGCGCAGATGATCTCTTCCCCTGGCCTGTACGGGCTCGAACAGAGAGACCCTCAGGGTTTCCCTTATGAAGCGAAACAAAGCAGCAGAGTGGATGGGGTATACAGCGCCTCTGATACCAAAGGTGGCGCGCAGCTGTTTGTTGGTGAGATGCCATCACAGGACACGTTCTTTTCTCAAGGCGTTCACCCTCAGTCCCCTTCATACTTCTACTGGAGAGATTTCCGCTTCTGGATGGAGCTCGGGAGAGAGTGCTTTCTAGACGGGGAAATTCAGCTCTCCGGCTTGTGGGTGGTGCTGCACTTGGCAGCGCTGTTGGGGGGCCGTGGTTTTCTTCGCTCGCCCCCAGCAATGCACGTTAGTGCAGAGTGATGAGTGGCATGACACGGAAAGCTGGAAGAAACGAACACCAACCTTCCGCGCGGCCTTACCGCTGGCAAGGCGGCAAACGAAGACACACGGATTTACGCTGCTGTTGCAGGCTGCTAAAGGACAGAGAATTCTGTCTGCAGGCGTGACCCTGCGCTGTTCCTCTCGAGCAGGTGGCACGGCTCATGCTCTAGAACCGTGCAAAAGGGATGCAGTAGATTCCTTTTTGTGGAGCGCGCAGGAACAAGCTTCCTTCTCACTCGGGTCCCCCTGGCCTTAATGTATGAGAGTCAATCAATGTATGTCATATGAGGTAAATACCATGTGCGTGCAGCTGGCTGCTGGATAGATGCCCACGAATACAACGGTATGCTTTCAGTTCTCGAAAAGTGATTTTGCGTGTCATGTGCATAATGGTGAATCGACACGCGCTCCCTCCATGACTACCTCTTCAATTGCGTCGGGCTGCGCTGCAGCTGCTTGCGAAAAGCTCCATGTTCGCATGAAGTGTGCAGCAATGCCCGCGTTTGTTTGAACACAACCTGCCCAAGCATGTAACACTTTACGAGTCACTTCCTTCCGTTTTGCTCTCAATTTTCGCAGGGACCCGCAAAATGCTCCCATGTATCGCGTATGCGGCTCTCCACGTAGCGGCTCCCGGAAGTGGCAGACATAAGTCCTCAACCTATTGCGTCTGGTATAACTAGCCGGGAGCTATTGGGTGTAATGCGTAGGTGGGAAGTCACCGCTGTTGATACCGTCAAAAGTTTGGCAGAAGAAGTGTAAAAGTCACAACAAGCGTTCTCCTGTCAGTGCAAGCTCCGCCGTATCTCGCCAGCGTGCGCAACGCAACAAAATACGCTGCACTATTTGCTATGTGCAAGGAGAGCGCAAAACAGCCACAGCAGTGGTGCACGGAAACCCAGCAGGCACACGAAATAGCCCGCGTTGAATCTCGTGCAGTAAAGAGCGCCACTAAAAATTCAGTTGGCGCCACCCTACCCATCTAATCTAACGTAGTGTTGCCTGTGCAGCTGGCTGTCTCAGCAGCCGTGAAGCACTTTGAGCCTCTGCTGAAGCACTGCGCCGCATCCCTTTCAGGCTGGGAAGACAGCACTGAACTACTGCGCCTTGTGCCATGAACGCTACGT